ACAGGTTATTGGGATTCCTAATCTGTTTTGGTAACAGGATTCCAAATCTATTTTGATAACGGTTTATTAGGATTCCTAATCTGTTTTGTTTTTAGTTTTAGAATTCCTAATATATTTTTGATTTTAGGATTTCTATATATATCGAACGATTGGAAGAGAGAATTGAGCAGCGAATTAGGGATATTTGGAGCACAGAAAAGAGATTTTCTGAGCTATTGGTTAGGGTTTTATTTGGAGAGAATTAGAGATTTGTTGGTGAGATTAATTAGTGACTTCGAGTGATTTGTAATCTCAGTTTGTACTCTTCTTCTCTATTAGTAAAAACTCCATCCCCTTCTTGCCCCGTGGACGTAGGCAACTTGCCGAACCACGTTAAAATTGGTTATTTAAGTTTGTGCCGTTATTTTGCATTGTTTGGCCTTCTCTCGACAGTTGTTTGATTTGGTCTCTCGAAGCACATCGGTTTGGTTTTGACTTCCGCCGCGCACAACAGAAAGTACTCTATCCAAGGGCTCCCAATGAGTCCTATTTGGATAGATAGTGTATCTATTTAATTTAGAAACTGAGTATGAATTATCTGGTCTTACACAATTTGCAATATACATCAAGCTTCCAATAGTCTAAGAATATTTCAACTGAGACACAGAGTCCCACTTGCATTCTTGTAGAGAGTAACTGAAGGATTGTACAAAGTTTTGACGGTTTACAATTCTCATAGCTAAATTTCTCAAAAATCTTTTCAATGTAGTGAGATTGAGAAATTGCTATGTCATTGGCTGATCTAATCAATTTAAGGCTAAGAATCACATCAACGACGCCCAAGTCTTTCATATCAAACTTACTACTCAAGAATGAGTTAGTCTCATTGATTTTCCCAATGTTGGACCAAATAATAGAATATCATCAACATAAATACACAAAAGAGTAAAATGAATCACCTCTTACTTTGCTACACTTATCAGGCTCAACCATACTGAAATTAAAAGCAGTGATAGTTGAATCAAACCTTTTATATCATTGTTTATGAGCTTGTTTAACTCCATAGAGACTTCAAAAACTATACTTTCCTTTCGTAACCAGTGCTATGAATCCCTCAGGCTAATCCATATAAATCTCTTCTTCGAAAATTCCACGAAGAAAAGCAATTTTCACATCCATCTAGTTGATAGTGAACTAGAGAGTAAGTATCAAAGAAATAAATTTCTTCAACTTGCTTGAACCCCGTGGCAATAAGTTTGGTCTTAAACTTTCCTACGATTCCATATAGTTTCAATTTTCTTTTAAAGATCTGTTTACATAGAATTGTCTTGCAGCCAAGAGGTAGATTAACTAATTCTCATGTCTCATTAGAGACAGTAGAACCCATCTCACTTTCGATAACATCCTCCACTGCTTAGACTCTTTTGAGGCTATAGGAGATATGTATGAAGTAGGATACTCATCGATATTATAAACATCAAAGTCACTTCTAAAATCCTAGACATTCTTGTTCTCTTACTCCTTCTAGGTTCATCTAAATCCTCAGATCTTTTAGATATGGATTTAGAACTTTCTGCCCTAACATTTATCAACCTTTCCACATGATCGGGAATGAAAATCGAGATAGAGACATGATTTTCAGTAGAAATATTTTGAGGCATTCCAGTTTCATAGAGAAAACATCCTCAAAAAATATTGCATCACGAAATTCAATAATTTTGTTAACATCTATGCTAGAGATTTTAGACTTGACCATTAAGATTATCAATGCATTAGTATTTTCACATAACCTAGGAAGATAGCGTCCACTGTCTTAGGACCTAGATTTTTCCTTTTGTATTTTGAGATTAGTACTTTTGCAAGACATCCCACACTTTAAGATATTTCAAGCTGACCTTTTGACCTCTTCAAAGTTCAAATGGCTACTTTCCTTATGCTTTTGAGGGACTTTATTCAGAACATGGCAAGCCGTATTCAAAGCTACTCCCTACACATGTTTAGAAGTTCCAGAACTTCCAAGTATATTTTAAAAGATTGATATAGAAGAATAAACTAGTTCGATATATATTATCCTCCTTTATAAGATCTTAACCTTTTAAGTTTCTTACTAGTTTGAGTTTCAGTCTCATTCTTAAAAATAATAAATTTTTCTTGAGGCCTCATCATTGGTCTTAAGCAAGTAAACATAACAATATTTGTATTAATATTCAATAAAAGTGATAAAGTATTTCTTCATGTCTTTGGTCAAAACACCATTAAATTCATAAATATCAGCATGAACTAAATTAAGCAATTCTAAATTCCTATCAAAAGAGTGAATAGTTTCCTTGTTTGTTTAGTGGTTACACATACTTGATATTTTTTGTTGTGATCTATAGAGTGTTTAGTAATCAAATTAAGATTCATCATTCTTTTAGAAAACTAAAATTAACATGACCAAGACATTTATGCTAAATTTAAGATGATTCAATATTGTTACTAACAGAATAATTAGAAATAAATTTTTTATTCAATTCAAAACTTAAAACAAATTCAACTTTAACCTTATACATTCTATCAAAATCATAGCCCTTAAAATAAAAGTCTAGAATGCAACATAACCACTTTATTACATTTAAAAGAAAATTTATAACCCTCCTTATCTGAGCATGAACCTCTAATTATGTTGCATCGAATAGTAAAAACATGATGCACCCTGTGTAATAACAGAACCCGCCTTGAAGAGAACTTCAGGTCAACTCGTCCATATCCTAACACGTCAGATGCATATTGGTTCCCCATCTTCAAGGTATTTTCATGTGCAGGTTAGAAAGACACAACAACAATTTGTCAATATAAATGTGTACATTTGCACTAGTGTCTACTAACCACTAATTGGATTCATAAATAGATAGCAATTCGAGGTTAACAAACACATACCCTAATATGAGCCTAGCTAGTAGACGCTAGGTTTGATTTAGCTTTCTTTGTAGGACAAACTTTAGCCTAATGTCCAACATGTCCACAATTTCAACATTATTTGTTTGCTTTTGGTTTCTTTTGGATCTTAGCCATAGCTTTGATTTTGTCATTAGGTTTGCTATTAGGTTTGTTTTTAAACTTTTTCTCCAAAGTTATAGCATTTACTTTGGGTTGGTGCTCAACAAGCACAACATGTTTTTGATTCTTATGCTCTTCCTCTATGGCTATGGCAATCATCAAGTCATTGAGATTTATTTTTGCCTTTTGATGCTTGAAAGACATTCCAAAACTCTCCCAAGTATGAGGAAATTGCTAGATGGTTATCATAACTTGAAACTTTCCAAAAGCTCCATTTTAGCTTCCCAAAAAACATGAAGAATGATCAGAAGCTCATGTGCTTATTCTGTCACAAATTTACCCTCGACAATTTAAAATTTCAAAAATTTGGACACAGAATACTTGTTAAGACTGAGATCTTCAATATTGTATTTTCTGTCTAGCTCATCACATAGTGCCTTAGCAGTGGCTGAAGAAGACAATAGACATCGAAGAGCGCATTGGACACAGCCAACAAAATACATCCTCTGGCTATTTGATCCTTCTACATCCGCTGTGCAATTTTCTCTAAACTATTGGGTTCTTTTTTTGTCGGGTTTTGGGCGTTCCGATAGTGTCATTGTCAATAGCCCCTTAGTCATCAGTCAAATCTTCATACTTTGCTGCCAACATTTGAAGAACTGGTCCATGAACTTCTCTAGCATTCCACACATGTCCATTTTTTAGGGGGCAAAGGCACTAAAACCAACTCTTCAGATAGAAGACTTAACTTCATATATTACTAATTTCTTCAAGATTGTAGGAAAAAGTGCAAATAAAAGCAGATCCAATATAAAGGAAACACCAAAGCAGAACAAACCACAATGGAATAAAGACAAAGAGCAAAAAACTAATAAGATTTCCGTAGCAGTAACTTAGGGAATAAACTACATTATAAATATGCCAAATCACCCTCTAAATAGAGTGCTAGCCTTGAAAAAATTATGCTCCACATATGGTAGCGTTGGGTCTGCATAATATTTCTGAGGATGAGACGCAATGAAGCGCTTTTGGTTGCAGTCCAACGAAGCGTTCTCTTCTGTTGAACACCTCGATTGCCACTTCACTTCGCCAAAATCTCCAAAACTAGTTTGATTTTCAGTGTCTCTCAAATGGATAAAGGAGGCTCCTTATATAGGGGTTTTAGTGAGCTGAGGGGGTTAGACAAGGCCTCTAATAATAGTAATGGTCAGTTAGTGCAACATTTGTATAACATCTACATTAATTATCATTCAAACCTCATACCACTCGTAACGTACGAAACATTTAATTAGGCTAGAAAAATGTTGCACATGCAAAAAGAGCATGCCTGGGACTACGCGCTTGAACCGACGCACTCGGGGTCACTCGCATTTGCACGCTCGCTAGCATTGCCAACCCAAGTGTACATGCTGACATATTTGTTATACTATATAACCGTATGTTAATTTAAACCAACTAAAACGCATTCAATTAGTCAATGTGAGACTAATACTCAACTATAAAAATGATATTCTTCCAAAGAATATTTTCGCATGAATCCTCCAATATTCCATTTATATCAACAGATAGAAGGATTTCAAATTAATTAGTTTGTGGGTCGAAACAAAATATCGACCTGGATACGTCATTACAAGGTTGTTTTCCGTCTGAGAAACATTTCAGCGGCAACATGAACAAAGAAAGAGACCTACTTGTACTTGGGAGTTGGCCTATACAGTTTAGGGCGTTTATCTCGAGAGTTATGTTCTGCGTTTTTAATTTGTTCAATCATTCTTTTTAGAGATTTTCAATATGTTTAATTTGTTTAATTCTCATCCCGCTTTGCCCTGGTAGAATGACTTTATTATTATGGAGCTTCAAACCTAATAGCTTTTAGTAATAAGGGCAATTAGTGTTCAAGGATATATGTGTATTAGTTTCTAATACCTGCAATCTCAAAACAACTATAATACTAGACAGTTGATAAAAATTCATTTGTTTTGAACAATTGAAGTAAACAATAGAATTATGATCATGATTCACAGAGGGAAAAAAAAATAGAATTTTACAACTTCAAAGTACATTAATAATAACAACCTTTGTTAAGAGAAAGCTTCAAAATGTACTCTTCAACTGTTCATAAAGAGCCCAGAGAACAAACCCTAAGATGGTGTCTCTAACGAGACCCTTGACGAGAGAACTGACCCAAGTGTTCGAACCATCAGAAGACGTTCTTCCAGCGACATCGCGAAAACGCAAGTTACCTTGGTCGGAAATTAAGGCATAAATAACACCATTCATGTGCCCTTTACCGATGATTCCTACAACTATCTTACTATTATTCACAGCTTTACTCCTCTTCAAAGACCATGCAAGATACTGAAAACACGAAGTGGAAATTACTTCATTTTTGTCAACAGGTGAATCCATAGTGTGAAAAAAAATCATCAGCGCCAGAAGATTCTATCTAGTCGCTACATAGATATACACGATATTTATGTTAATTTAAGTGTAAGTTGATAGGTAGCAGATATGTGTCATGTTCATGCACAAAAGGATGCCGTCACATCAAAGAAAATAGTAGATTCTATCTGGCCAATACCTCGATACACATGGCATTTATTCAGAGTTATTGACAAGAAATAGATAGTCTCATAATAGTCACATTCATGTATGAGTGATAGAGAAAATTATTGCATCAAAGAAACTACAAGATTATATACAGTCAATGCATAGGTATACCCGATATCTCATGTGAATTTTGGTGCAATTGGACAAAGATGTTGTGCCACATATGTTCATGTATTAGAGGCAAGAAAATTATCACATCAAAGGAAATAGTATATCTCTATAGTAAGTACATAAATATACAGGACATGATGAAGAAACATCACGACATATATGTGATTTTTAATGTTAGTTGATTAGAAACAGACATCGTGTCACTACATATATAAAAGGGTACACAATATTTATGTGGTTTTTTGTGTCAGTTGATCAGAAATAGATACGGTTGGCAGGTTCATGTATGAGGATGCAGAAAATAATCACATCAAAGAAAACAGTAGAGATTCTATCCGGTCAATACACAGATTTATACGATGTTTATGTGAATTTTAGTTGGTTGATAAGAAATTGATACCCTGTCAAGTCCATGTATGGGAGGTTGCAGAAAGTTATCACATCCAATAAAATAAGTAAATTCTTAGTCAATATATAGATGGGGTTTTTCAATATTAGCCCACACAATCTTTCATATTTTGAAGTTAGTCCTCCAGATCTAAGTATTTTGAAATTAGTCTCCCAAATCTTGATATTTTGAAATTCGTCCCTCAAATCTATTATGTGTTTTGAAATAAGCCCCCAAATCTTTCAACGTCATGCTAACGAAAGGACTAATTTCAATACCCCTAAAACATTTGAGGGACTACTTTCAGAATATGAAGATTTGGGGAACTAATTTCGAAACACCTAAGATTTGGGGTACTAATTTCAAAATATCAAGATTGGGGGGACTAATTTCAAAATATGAAAGTTTTGGGGACTAATTCCAAATATAAAATATTTGGGGGACTAATATTCAAAAAACCCTATGTATACACAGTGCTGACAAGAAAACAGTTTACCGTGTCACGCTCATGTATGAGAGGCTGCAGCAGAGAAGGATATGAAATGCTCAGTTGTTTATATAGCTCAAATGGGCTGACATCCATTTCTTGGCCCTACATCAAAGTGATAAAACTTGTAACTGCATTATAAGTCAAATAAGACATCATAACATGAGGGTGTTTGGGAGGCTTATTGTTTGGTCAAACTACCTTTTAAGCTGGCTTTTTCATTTCTATCTGTTTCTGGTATACCCCAACTTTTAAAAAACTAACTTATAAGCCCATTTAAAAAAACTAACTTTGACCAAACAAATTACTATTCTACTCAAACAATTTTTATAGCATTTTTATCAAAAAAAGTCAAAAGCCACTAAAAGCTAGCACAAGTTAAAGCTTAAAAAGTAAAGCCTTCCCAAACACTCTTAAGCAGGAGGTGGTCCAGAAAATAACTGAATGAAAGAACAGGATTCATGAAACCGGCCCTAAAAATTTGGGACAAAGGCTTTGCTTTTGATGTTCCACCATGAAAGCAAAACTACAATTGACAACTGAACAGCAGTGCAATGCGCCATATTTCCTATTTACTATACGTGGCTAAATCATGCACATCCTGAAATTACAACTAACGGCTCTAACCCTAAACAATGCAAAAGCAACCTTTAAGACTAAACAACTAAAGTGGAACGGTTAGCTTAAGGAACCTCGAGTTTCAGGATGAATCAGGGTTTTCCATCACCTTCTCAAAATCTACGGTCCAAGACTCATATGATAGCTTCACATCAATAGACAATCTTATAGTTCCTCTTAACCAAGGGAAGAAGCACAAACACTGATAGGGCTGCTTAATTCAAATGATAGTGTAAAAGTATTTCTATAGTCTGGTATGACAGATCTTAAAACTAAATATCGCAGTCAAATACATAAAATATAAATGAAAATGAGAAGTGAACTTGAATAAAAACGAACCTTTGAATTACTCTCAGCTAGCTTGGATGAACTTATACCACGGAAAATTGATGTAAGTAGTTTCAACTTCTCATTCCATTTGAGAGAGCTCCACGCCCGTTGAAGCTGAAAGAAAATAACATGCTATATAGTTTCCTTCCAACAAAAGAGAACAACATGTATATTGGGATTCCACATAATACAAATACATACGGTAATCTCAATTGGGCGATCTCCTAATACAATCTGAGCTCCAATCTCCTCAGAAGCTTTTCGAGCAGCACGAAACTATAAAAAATATGTAAGAATTTGTAATCCTAGCTAGAATAATCTACATTTACGTTGGATCAGATGATAATATTCTTCAAGGAGATATATTTCACCTCATCCCCAAAAGGTCGGTTCCCTCCACCAGAAATCTTCGAAGAGAAGACTGCTAGGAGCAATCGTAAGGCAAGAGCCGTTTGCCCCCCTGCTATTCACATAACAAAATATTAGTATTGCCCTTTCTATCCTATTGGTAAGTTCTCTTTCCATTATCTTAAACAAACTCAAGTGTCTAATCCTTCAGGAACCATGTAAATAATAAGCTAAAGGTAGAAAGAGGTTGATCCTTTTATAGCTAATAACATTTTATAGATGCCTACTAAGCATGATAAAGGAAGAAAGGTATAGTAACAAGTATTAATCAAATTGTAAAACAATATATGATAAGCTGACCCTTCAAGTATTCCACTAAGTATATTTGCTGAGGTTGTAGAATGACAAGTTGGCACTCCGATTGATATGAAAGTGTAAACATATTACCAACTCCTGGGAACTCAAGAACTAGTCATTGCTAGCATTTTCAAGAGCATAGCCACTGTACAACTCCATCGTTAAATGCGTGTAGGTAAAAGGTAATACTCGAACAAAATGATCACTTTTACTCAAGCCATAACTGATGCTATTAGATCTGACAATGTGAATCCAGAAGTGTGAGTGTAATGATAAAGTAAATATTAAAAAGTCCACATGAAAGTTGAGAGGTCGTCAATGATTAATCTTGAAGTTGACTCAAATACAATGTCTTTGCTATTTTCAAGAGGTCTTCATTGGGGAAACTTTGGGCCCCTCCTGCAGTTAATTCAGACTTTAGCATAAGGTTAACCAAAATCAATAAAAAAAACTTGAGCTATTAGGTATTGACTCTGATTTTTATTTAAACTCATTACTCTTCATGTCTTTTCAATGTGGGAATATACTCACACAATAATTACTAGCAATCTCCTCGAATGTAATCTTCCATGGAAAACCATAAGTCGTCGTCACTGACTCGGCCTAAACAGACACCCATGGAGCAGCAACATGACTACCAATATACATAGGATCTTCCATCATGTGCGCTAATGAGACCTTAGTCACACCAGCACATAATCTCAGGCAACATTGATTATTTGTGGATTAACCTGACATTGGTCCTTACTCTCTCGTAACCCAGAATCTGGACTCTAATACCACTTGTTAGAAAGAACATGAGACCCAGTTGGGAGTTCAATGGGTCTTAAGTACAGAACCAATCTGAGTAAAGTGCAAGGTTACTAAGGTAAACCTATCAAAGACCCTCCAATGGTCCAAGTTAATGTGAGCATAAAGAAGTTGAACATCTTGAATGAGCGTACATCATAGAAAGTCTGGTTCACTAATTATTATAAAGAGTATGCCTACTTTTAGGGTAGTTATCTCATGTCATCATGTCAAACATACAATCTTTCTACTACCAGCTAGCCACTCGGTTGCTCAATCATTCTGTTAGCTGATAAGTTTAACCATTCTGAACATACAAACCCATCTGACCTAGAAAGTAAGATAGATCATTTATGTTTGATTTATGAGATATGGCAATGCTATGTCACACGAAGTCTAATGCTATGCTACACATGATTATGAACCATCTGTAGAATGATAGAATCAGTACTGCATGGTAGAGTATTCATATGGAGTCCTGCATGAACAATGGAACATGCCACAGGTTGCAACCCCCAAAGTGACTACCTCCACATTGAACATGTACTATGGAAGTATCTTATGCACAACAATCTTCATGAATTCAATAATTAGTTGTAGCTAGAATGGTTTAGAACCCGGAACCATGCGAAATCCTCGCTCAGAGCATCACATACGAAGTGAACGTCATGGGAAGAAAAGAATAGGACAAGGGGGCAAGAGTTACGAAAAAATAACAATCCTACAGATGACCGCTAAGAATTAAGTTACAAAAGATATAACAAACTGAATATATTGTTGCATAGCCACTTGACTACACTTTTCGGTTGAGGTGCATCAGAGTTCCCAGGCAACTGATCAGGGTGGTCATCAAGGTGATTTTTGCAAGTATTGATTTGATGCACATTTTTACTCTATGTACATCAAATGTATAATATAATGAGACATCTTAGAGAGACATCTTGAATACAGCTAACAATTTCAAGAGAATCAATGTAGGCAGCTAAATTTGAAATGTACAAATGTTCAGTTGCAGGTATAGTCCCAAGTGGATTAAGGTGAGTAACAGCCATCATCAAGGAACATCTCTAGCACAATTTAGCAAGGATCCCACAACCCATTCATAAACACATGAGCTCCACTTGCCTAACAACACTTTTATCTCAATGAGCATTTAATGTCCCATGATTCTAGCAGTACTAAATACATAAACAAAAAGAATTTAGTATACAAGAAACAGATACAACTCAAGACATATCATATAGAAAGTGCATTATCCAAGGTGCAAATTATGAGCTAGTGAGCATATGACGATGAAAAATTTATAACACGTACCCAAATTTATGCTCCGGTTGATTGCTCCGAAAAACTTATCACCGCCCAATGAGAACATATTCAATTTCAGCAATGGACCATCATCAGCTTCATTGGATGTATACATAATTCCAGCCCTGAAAGTGAATTCTGCAAAGACACAAGTTAGGAAGCAAACTAATGTGTGCCTTCATTTGGAATAGCTGGAGTTTCCTGCCGTTCTAACTACATCCAGCCTCCAATCCACTAATTTGGTTGAGTTGTTACAATTACAAAGAGCTGTTAGAAAAATAAAAGATCCTAGAATAGAATGTTGTTATTGTGTTTCAATAGTGCAACAAAATTGTCTTTAGATAGGACTCATTGGAGTTTCATGTTGTTGCAACCACATCTAATTTTCTTTTTAAAAAAATCCTACAGAGTCCCTCTTTAGGAAAACATATAGAGAGGAAGGAAAAGATAATATGAGGCCCACTAACCATTATACAAAATTAGTGCAATTGGTTAATAGCAATGGAGACAGTTAAAATATCAAACAGAATCAGAATATAGAATTAGTGCAATCATCAACTTAAAATCTGTGTTGGGACATGTATTGCGGTCTCCTTATTTCCTATATGATTTACTATTGAGGGCTCTCTATAGAAATTTTATTCCAAATTTCAATATACATATTTGGTTTGGTGCTTTGCAAATTAAAATAGTTTTTTATTTTTATTTTTATTTTATTTGATTATATTTTTATTTTTATTTTTATTTTTGCGTAAAAGCAGAATAACTTACAAACATTGATAATTGTTGCGCCTAGTATATGCATTGAAACCGTACAGTGTGCATACATTTGCTATTCTGATAATTTCCAACCAAGCACTCCTAACATAAACCACTTATCTGGATCATGAATTGCATGATTTGCATCTCTAAGCAATAGTGGAGCTTTTTTTTTTTGTGGGGAGGGTGCAGGGGGGTTGGGGCAGAGGATGGCCATGACCCCCTTGACTTTTAGCAACTATTCACATATAGGTTGTACACATTAGTCTCTTACCTCTTTCATATTTTCGTATTATGAAATTACTCCTTGAACTCATAGAAATTACTATTAGACCCCGCAAGTCTTAAGTACTTTCAAATTAATCCCACTAATTGCTACAACTGCTCTTAATTGAAGAATTTTCAGAATAACTTAATATTGATTTCAATGATTTGATGTACTTATTGAAAATAAGAAAGATTTAATAGACTTACATTGAAAAAGAACTAATTAACTAAAAGTTACTGCACAAACAATATAACTTAAGTTGAGAGCTAGTGTATTATATAAAGAAAAAGACTTGTGGCCCTGTGAATGAGAATGATTAAGTGGTTAAGTTTATGGGCTATGGATGAAAAAAAACTAAGCGGCGCAACCAAGAAATTAGATAATATGATTTTTGCCCATTCCAGATAAAAGCATTCTTGTTTCCTTTTCTTAGACCACATTTTCTAGGCTTTAAAGTTAAATAGGATTAGGAACATCTCCAGTGAGCTTATTTATCGGGTGTTGTGGGTTTGCATTTTGGTAAAAAAATGTTGGGATGTCATCATCTACATGATTATCATTAATAAGTAATTTATGTTCCATGATTTCCTTTATTCCGAGTTGGTACTAATTTGAAATGGTTTTCTATTTCATATTTTCATGCATTTCTCCATTTAATAATTTAACTATGAATTGAGGCTATATTCATGCGGTTTTACATTTCGTAGTGGAATTATAAAATGTGGCCTTCCAATTTATTAAGTTTTACATTAAGAAATAAATTAATATGTGAGATGGTGTAATCTATAGTGCATTATCAATCTATCAGGTCCTCAAAAATAGAATTTGTACTGATGATGCATGAACCATACATGACACTACTTCCATTCCGCTACTTGCCTGCTCCTGCAGAGCTCGACGACGACATTATCGGGTTTAACCGCGTTCACAACCCGACCCACATCTGCGGCCGACCGTTCCGATATGTGCGAGGTGCCCACGACCCATATCCTCTCCGGCTCCACAAACTCCCTCCTCCCTCTGGCACCGCGCCCAAACCGCCTCTTCTCGATCATCACAAGCTCCCCTCGTCAACTAAAAGCGGCCAACCCGGCCCCGCGCGCCGCCGCCGACCTGGATTCATTCTAGAAAGCCCTCTGGTAGGTTACGCCGTATCGAACCCGGATGGAGGCGGGCCGGATTGCGATGCGGGTCGGCGTTTGGATTGCGGCCGATCCGATAAAGCAGGGGAGAAGAGGTTATGTTTGGGTTCGGATTGGGGGAGAGATAGGGGGAAAGGAGAGGTGAGGATTTCCATTGGGAAAATGAAGCTTTTAGATTGAGTTCTGAGTTTTTTTTTTTTCTTTCCTTGGGGGGAGGCGGGCGTGGAGGGGATAATAGAATAATAATGAATATTAGAGATGTTTTTAGAGGGCTGAGGCTTTTTTTTTTCAGAGAGAGAAAAGAGACCGCGTGGGTTGAAAAAGCGCCCGAGGCTACTGGATCAGAGCGACCTGAAATCTATCAACACTAGTATGTACTCCGTGCAAAGCACGGTAGGTTATTTTTTCTAGCATTGTATTTTAAATTTGTGTCTCTCTAAGTTTTAATACATTTGATTTACTTATTATATACTTCAAATAAAAAATCATAAATCATATTAAAATATATGTTACTAAAAATATTGTCATCTAGTGCTTTTACATTCTTCCTCTAAAGAATATATGGTCAAACCTCTATTTTGCCTTGTTTAAGAATGAAATATTTAATATATTACTAAATCAACCGAATATTTTTTTAAACCGAAACAATAGATATCACTAATGGAAAGAAATTGCATTGTTTCGCCTCTCATCGTGAGAGCGATCAGTTCAAAAGTGAGACATCCCTCGCTCTTACAAAAGGATCTAAGAAACAAAATGCTATTACACTATAAATGTGAGCTGATGAACATGTAGCTCCTGCATAAAATTACAAAATACAAAATACATTCTACAAAACCAATCTTATCCGCCACCACATAAAAACATTATGGGCCAAATTTCAAACATGAGAAGGCAAGCTCATATGAATCCCTGTTGCATATGAAACATCCACAAACTGGAAACCATAAATCCAGCGCCCAGCATGAGAAACAACCACCAGGCCATCATCCATAATTACATATATCATTTCGGCTGGAACATTCAATCCAACAGCCGAAAAAAGCCAAGAATACCCTATGCTACAGTAATTTTGACATGAATGCATCACCATTTCCAGCAGCATGAGCCAGGTCCTGCTACAATGAGTTTCAGAGTGCGCTACTGCCATTTCCAACAACATATCCAGCAACTTTTCCAGCAGCCAGAACAATCCAACATATTGCCAATTGTCATGGCATCCATTCCCATCAAGAAAAAACAAAACCAACAAAATTCGAAAAGCAGGGCATCCGAAATACAGGCTGGAAAAAACAAAATAAAGGCAGTATCATTGTTCACAGAAAGACAATACAAAACGAATGCCTTCCTGTCATTACATAAAATGCGTCATGTTGCTTGCATCATTGCATTTCCTGTTCAAAAAGAGGGAGAGTACTGAACCAAACATTAATTTGATTAAAAAATAAAGGAGATTATGACATCTAAAACAATTATCTTCTCTATTTCATTATCATCGGAGAACCAACAGAAAGGACAGGTTAAACAAATGATAGTAATCATCTCTAATACTAAGAAAATAAATGACTCTAATCATTTACTTAATAAACAAATGATACTAAAGAATAAATTGAAATCTTTAAAAGTGGATACAATTACAATTCAATACATCATAGAGATACATAAATATATAAATAGATTGTTGGATCTATGAATGATATAGGAGTGATATAATTAATGCTTTGTGTCGTATCATATCTAGAAAGATGGTTATTTTCAGTAGTTACAACAAAAATAAGTAGCTAATATTAATTAAGTCTTCAATATATTTTCTCTAACATGTTCTAAACCCACCAACGTTTATATCAAAATGAGAGAGTTTAACTAATAAATTAAAAGTGAAAGAGAACTCATCATTTAATTTGGAGTAATAAAAATTAAAGTCCTATCAGATTTTGTTTTTTAAACCGTTCAATTGGAAAAAAATAGTAAAGAGGTTAAAATAGCAAAACCCAGATTCATGAAGACTATACATGAGGCACTGTTGTGATCTACGTTTATATTGTCAAATAATTTACTCAATGTCAAGAAACTATTGCTAATGATTCTCCTTGTTTTGCAGGACATTGGTATATATAGGCTTTGCAATCAGACAACATGCAACATGAAAACGGCAACATGACAAACTACTTGGATTTACTCAATGTCAGATTTCTTAATAAAGATGGTAAATAACAGTGAAGATAAAATCAAAGGCTAGACTTAAGAAGAGTTTTTCGAATTATCTGATGCAGTGAGAGCATATTTTCTTGAGTGAATTATGAATGTAATGAATGTATTTGTATTATAGTGGGAACTTGGAGGGAGAAATATGAGTTTGGAGGGAGAATAGATGATTTCATTAGCTTGGTTATATTTGAATTTCAAATAGATGGTAAAAGATATTTGAGGGGATGAAAAAAATTATTTTAATATTTATTTTTTGAATTAAACCACTCAAATTGTACATGGTTGTATTTCCACATTTTTTTCTAAATATTGGAAAAAAAACTGAATATAATGGAATATAATATTAAAAAAAGGGGATGGAATATAATACCTAATAAATTGAGTTTTGTTAGGATCAAGGAATCTTCAACCTACAATTGTTTTAAAAAAAGACAATAAGTCAACTAAATATAAAATGGAAAAAAGTCAGAAAGCAATGCATATTTTGATGACATATTAAATACTCGATAACAAATGAAAATTAGGGAAAACAATTGCATAACGTATAGCTTCTATAAGTACAGAAACTAATTATATCAACTTAATTGACATAAGGTTCCTTAAAGGACATACATGTAAAATGATCTCCGAGCAGACTTTTTAAATATCACCTCGCTTAAGAATGACAATTAACTAACCAATCCTGAATAATGATGGCTATGATGTAAGCTTTTGTGCCTTATGCATGTGATAAATACTTCTCCTAAGCCTATTTGATGAAATGCACGTAGGATGTGATCAATATCAGAACGCTAATTGGAGATTAGAGATAACTTGGAATCAAAGAATCGTCAACATGGTGATGCTAATTTAGCATTTATTGGAAGTTAAATGATCATGCTATCTTATACATGCAATAAATATTCTACAACTCTTCCAACCTAACCTTCTATGGAAATAGTAAAAGAGGGAAAGCTTAGATATATCATGATAAAGGTTGTTTTACTTAAATTTCAACTATCATCATCTTATATTTAAATTTCTAATCTAAACCAAGTAACTACAAACAGAGAAGGAAAAATCAAGCAATTCTTTTCACCACAAAAAATGCTACAGTGATGATGTGATTAAATATTACAGTTTTGCAACTTTCATAACCTATAACTCCATAAACATTAAGTGAAACTGTAAGTGGATGTCAATATGTATACTGTACAATGTAGACAAATTTGAACTATAAGACAATTTCTTTAATATACGTCAATTTTCTGGCTCAATGAAATTGTACCAAATAATTTCAAAAATGCCTGAAAATATTGTGAGTGTCTTTGAGACTCATAATACTTAGCTTTTTGAGCTTGTGAGAGCAAAAAAAATTCTGCATTCAGAAAATTTCAAAAGTGCTTTGATATGTAATTGCTTAGTGTCCATAGAAAATAACAGAAAGAGGCTAAGATTTAGAGTCAGTGCCATTTTTTACCTGATTTGTAGTGTGCAAAGCATTGTGAAGTTGGAAAAAAGCAAGGAATATATTGCAATAAAGCATTGATTAACATAATTTAGCCTCATGATAAAACACCACATTTAGAACTAAAGCATGAATTAACAATCAATTGTATTTGATTAGCACTAATCTTTAAATTGACAATGGAAAAAGAAGAAATAAGGAAAATTATCTTTTGAAGGACGGGATTTCAAAAAAATAATTCTATTTGAGCCAAATTACATGAAAGTGTATGTTGGTGGGAATTTGGAGGGAGAATACATTGATTGAAGGCACGATAGTAATATTTGAAATTCAAATATACAATGAAAGGCATCTGAGGTGATGGATACCTATTACTATATTGTATAATTTTTGATTTAAGAGCATAAATTGTAGAAACGTCTTAATTGCTGAACTATATTTCACTTTATAGCTTTGTACCTGATTTATGTAATTATAAACTCGGTAATGATTAAAAATAATATTGCATGTGCTTTGTAATTATGACTATGAAATATGCATATGAATGTGTACCTGATTTGAGGCACTACTTCCCTATTACATGATTTGCAACAGACTTGTCCTGAAGTTGATTGTTTTTTTTTTTGCACAATCTCGACATCCAACATAACGCCAATCTAGTTCAACATTTCATATGAAAAAGTAGTCCTATAATTGCAGAAGATGGTGTTATCATTTATTAAATAGATAACTCACTAATGTTAATATGCAATACAACTTCATAAAGTGGTGTTTGTGAAGCCTTTATTGTTTCTGGTTGAGTATCAGAGAAAGAGACAGATGCCGTCAACAATTGCAAGTTATGCTCACTATGAGTATTCCTGCATGTATAATGAATAAGTTATCAGTTATATAGATAGTTGTTAACAAATGCAAATAAGGAAAAACAATTTGATAATAAAGTAGAACAATAGACTTGAGAGGAGATTAAAGAGGGAGAGAGGATAAATTGAGTTTTGTTAGGATCAAGGAATCTTCAACCTACAATTGATCAAAAAAAGGCAATAAGTCAACTAAATATAAAATGGAAAAAATGTCAGAAAGCAATGCATCCTTTGATGAAATATTATTAAATATCAAACACTCGATAACAAATGAAAATTAGGGAAAACAATTGCATAACATATAGCTTCTATAGGTACAGAAACTAATTATATCAACTTTCATAACCTATAACTCCATAAAAATTAAGTGAAACTGTAAGTGGATGTCAATATGTATACTATACAATGTAGAAAAAATGGAACTATACGTCAATTTCAGAAGTGCTTTGACATGTAATTGTTTAATGCCCATAGAAAATAACAGAAAGAGGCTAAGATTTAGAGCCAGTGCCATTTTTTTACCTGATTTGTTGTGCGCGAAGCATTGAGAAGTTTGAAAAAAGCAAGGAATAGGCTACATTCAAGCATTGATTAACACAATTTAGCCTCATGCTAAGACATTGATTAGAACTAAAGCATGGATTAACAATCAACTGTATTTGATTAGCACTAACCTTTAAATTGACAATGGAAAAAAGAAGAAATTAGGCAAAGGATCTTCTCAAGGACGGGATTAACCAAAAATAGTTCTATTTGAGACTTTAAATGAAAGTGAATGTTGGTGGGAAGTTGGAAGGAGAATACATTTATTGAAGGCACAATAGTTAATGAAAATAAATTTGTATTCACATAGAGTTTAAATGAAAACCATTCAATGTTAATGAAAATTGTTACTCAGATCCAAATTTAGATTTGCAAAGGAAAATGGTTACTCCCAAGATTTCTAGGCCAGTAATGCTCTACATTATCAGTTCTTCACATGGTCATGCTAATAAAGTTGCATCACATCTTTTTATCTTGCTATTTGGTACCCCTTTAGATTCTAGAACTCCTCAACGCCTTTCTACAACTAAATTATCCCTTTTATAGTATCCTAAATTCGTAAAATATGCATCAAAAGACTTTTACCTTGGATATCTTAAGTTTAATAAACTCATATGTCTGTCATATGTAAAAGTACCTAATGTAATCCTCAGTGAAGTCTAAGATGTGGTATGTTCTTATTTTAGTTACCCTTAGCAATTTTCAACCATGGTTTCTAGTCTGACATATGTCCTTAACCACATCAATGTAAATACTTGAAGCTTATTTCTTTTCTAATCCACCAATTAGTTTCTTAGGGACCTAATAATTTTTTGGCCTAAATCAATGACAACCACATGAAAATATATTTGATTCTAGAAATTTCAATACATTATTTTAGCATGTAAATAGCATCCAATGTCATCTTACCCATATGAAACCAAATTTTTTTAGATGGTATTTTTTTTCCTTCTCCCGTAAACCATCCTCAAAGAACAAACTCCACGAAATTTGTCTATAAATTTGATTTCACACTCCTGATCATAGCACAGTTAGAAAAAAAAATGATTCTAAAAGTGTTCTCCTTTAAATTTTGATGAAAAAAGAATCACATCTGAAGTGTCAACTTATACTCACCATCTACAATTGAACAATTTTACTTAAACCTAACAATTCAAGAAAAAGATTCGATCTTTTGGCAACATACCTCAGCAAAATTGGTGAACTTATGATCCCTGTTGACCACCAACCTATGAACCTAACAAATTAAACAAAAAGGATAAATATTAAAACAAAAATCAAAGAAAATGTCTAGGTTTATGCAAAGGGGAAGAGATTAGACCTCGTATTCGACCTTGTGCTTCTCTGATTATTCGAGAGGGACGTAGTATTTAGCAAGCCGAGTTCATGATGCCCATGACCTTGTGCTACTCCTCCACTACTGGTACTTCACTGATCAGGCTCTTCGAGGTACCTAACAAAAACCCTAATTTTAGATTTCTTTTTTCCTTCAAACTTTGATTTGGTTCCTGATCTCAGCTGGAATCGACATCTGGAGCTCCGGCTTCGCCCCGCTGGTGATGACGTCAAGAGCGGAAGCCCTGATAGAGGAGCTCCGGCGGGAGCGGATGAGAGAGGAGATCCTTGCGAGACAAATCGCTGACAATAGAATGATGGAGGAGGAGATCATGAGGGAATTGGAGTTTGAGAGGCAAATGGCGATGAGAAGGTTTGGAGAAGAGGAGATGGAGTCTAGGGTTGGCATCGGAATGGGAGAGAGATTAGGGCCTGGATTTATCTCAGAGAGGGAAAGATCGCTGTCTCGTGGGAGGGCCTGGATTTATGACGAAGAGGGGTGTGTTTTGAATTTTGAATTTTGGGCTGGTAGGGACAGAGGGGTTTGAGCTGATACGGGATATAGGCGTGAGAAGAGCGAGAATGGGAGGAGAGAGAATTACTGTTCAATTTAGGGGGGTTAGACACCTAGAACTTAAAATTAGAACTGTAATAATCTGTGGGATAAAATTTTAAGGTGTTAGTCACATAAAACTAAACCTAGAACAAAATTTTAAGGTGTTAGTCATATAGAACTAAAACTAGAATAAAATTTTACAGTGTTAGTCAAGCAGAACTTTAACAAAACTAGAATTGAGATAATTGTACAAAATTATCCCTTTTTTTTTCTATACAAAAATGAGAGTTCTAGTCTCTCAAATTATTCCAAGTTTTAGCTTGGAACTATGTGGTAAAAAACTAGAACTCGTATTTATTTTATTATTTTTTATTTTTTGGGGATATAAGTAAAAGAACCTGAAATAAACCAGTTTATTGTAGTTCCTAAGTAAACTAAGATATATTATTTCTATTCAATATATAGATGGATGTGGAAATGCGGTTAGGTCTCATGTTTATTTAGAGGCAAAACACTACCCTAATCTCGATTGGCCTGAGAATGGAGGAGGAAAGATGATGCATCATGATAGTCTATTAAAAGGTTTTTGAGTAAGTTGATGATGGTTTTTGCATTAAAGGAAGCATAAGATTTGAAAAAAAAGGTTAGAATTCATGGCAATTTCCTATGATTCACCCGCTTTCAGTATTTAACACTATTAGCTGAAATTGTTTCAACCATGCATATGCATTACTTTGATGTTGGAGTTGGGTCTTGCGATATATTCATGATTGATTCTCATACCTGCTACAAAGCTTCTAAAAAATGCAAGCCATAAAGAACATAGAACATTGTCATGCTTATGAAGGGATCAAAGAGAAGCATACAATGCATCATCTGGGTATCAAAATTCTAGTTAACAGAAGTCATGTAAGTCTAATGAGTTGAATCTAACACTACACTGATCAAAGCACAAGTAAGAGTCTTAAGACTAAGAAAACACTTAGCAAGTAGATCTGATATCTTATTAGATTTTCTACTTAAAGATTAGAGTTATAAGTGCATTATTATGAATGTACACAGAAGCTTATTTTTGTAATAAAACTACCAACCAAGTACATTAGAGTTATAAGTGCTTTATTATGAATATACACAGAAACTTATTTTGTAATAAAACTATCAACCAAGTACATGATCACTATAAGACAGTGTATCTTGCAAATCACTAATCCAATGTTAATAGCAAAATGCAACATGGAAGAGAAACTAATTGTGGACCAATTTGAGGAAACACCACAGCAAAATACAAAAGTAATATAACAAAGAAACTTTCATTTTTACCAGATAAATTTTCATGATATTATTATGAAATACCATTATGAAACACTACATCTTTTGCCTTATTTTTCTTGAATCAGATTACATTTGCATCTAAAGCCTAGAAAGCAAGATGTAAAAAATAATTGTGATACGCGAATACTAAGGTAATAGCAAAATAGACCAATATCATAATGAAATACCCAACATTACAAAAGTATAAATAACAGGAAACTATCATTAACAATATTATAGATAAGTAAATTTTAAAGTTTCTGATCCTCATTTAAAATACATGGTGAACATCAAAATTATAAACATGTTCAACAATAAAATTTATTAAAATCAAGAAATTAAGCAAAAATCATAGTAAAAACCATCACCTGAAACTGATCGATACTCTCAATCACTGATTCCGTCACGCACGTCATTAGGATGTTGTCATCATAATAATTATTACCTATTAATAATTAAACCAAAAAAAAAGAAATACCTCGGATCAGATTTGAACAAAATAAAGAAGATTTCTCAAATGCCTAGGCAACGGCGGCGGAAGATATATTGGATCACTATACAGAAAAGGTCCAAAATAAATTTCACAAATTCCAACAGAAAAGTTCCAAAATAAAAAAAAGTTAGGGTTAGAGTTTTGACCGGACTCGAGGGATGGGTAGAGGAGGTGGCGGTGGCGGAGGCGGCGTAAGAGGGCGTCGGCGAGGTGGGAGGGGAGGCGATCCAGGGTTCGCTTCTGACGTCGCCATGTCTCGACGATCTCTCTGCAGGACCTCGCAGATTCGATGCAGAGATTTGCGAGAGATGGACTCGTCTTCCTCTTGCTTTGATTTTTCTCCATTTCCCCCCTTTTCTTGCTGATTAATTGAGACTTCCAGATCAAGAAATGGGTCTGAGAATGGTGGCCGTTGATGATGACGAAGAGAGGAGGGGAACTTCTCTGGTGGAGCTTCGGCGACTCTGTTCGACGATCGTCACCGGGGGCAAGGGAGGACCGCCTCAACGTCGATTTGAAAGCGGACGCTGCCATTGATTAAGAGATCGAGGGAGACTTAAGGTTCCACTTTTAGGGTTTTTTTCGAAAGAGATTCAAGAGGAGTGGGCTTCAAAGGGCTCGTGACGGAGGGATAATGATTTTAGCTTTTTTGGATTTTTTCAGCGGAGATTTGAATTTCAAAATTTTAGCAGAGATTTGAATTCCCAAATCTGTTTCTCTGTGAGGGAAATATGTCAGTGAAATAAGTGGGCTCCACAATGAAATACTGTTCAATTTACTGTTTGATGAACAGTGATTCTCTGATCCTCCTTTTTGTATAAAGGAGTAGATGCGTGGGGTTTCGTTTCTTTGAAAGAGACCGGTGATTTCAATATTTTTCTTGGGAAAATTGCTTCTATCCCCTAAAATTAAATTTTATTCAAAATCAACTTTCTTGTTTCTAGAACGCCCTAAAGTATAATGCCAACACATACCCACTCAAAATATATATAAAATTCTAAAACTACTATTAACTATGCATGTGACCACTTTTTTTTTGGATTTTTGTGCCTCACTCTCCCTCATCCCTTCTCTTTCCCCTCTCCTTCCCCACTTCTCTCCCTCTTGAAAAAATTCTTTATTTTCCCCTCTTCCCCTCTCAAACTAGGGTGATATTCAATTTTCTCTATGGTGGCTAACAAAAATTCTGTATCAAGAGGTCGATTATCATTCTCTTCTCCAGTTGTGGTGTCAGATCTGTCATTATTTGATTTGGGATCTAGACATAATGATCATTGTGAACATTGGTGGAGGGTATAAACAGAGAGAGTGAGATAAGATAATTATTATCGAGTTGTAAATTGTTTGAATTTCAAAGAGCTTACCTCAACTATTAGAGAGTTTGTAAAATAAAACTATAAATGTTTACTAAAAAAATTTCATGTTTTATTAATTTTTTGTTTGTAGGTACAACTGCGGGATTTACATGTACTTATTCATGAAAGCAATACTAGAAGGGGATGGTGTTTTGTAGCTTACACTAGATTATTATACAGCATGGTTGTTAAGCTTATGCATTTATTGTTAAGTTTTCTCGTCAGTTTTTAAGCTTATGTGATGGTTGTTATGCTTTTTTGTCAATTGTTAAGCTTGTGTGTTGTTTGTTTATTTTTTTCATTAGTTGTTAAGCATATGCATTGGTTGTTAAGCTTATGCGTTTGTTGTTAAGCTTTTTCGTTAGTTATTAAGCTTATGCATTGGTTGTTAAGTTTATGTGTTAAGCTTATGCGTTAGTTGTTAAGCTTTTTCATTACTTAATATGCTTATATGTTGGTTGTCAAGCTTATGCATTGGTTAAGTTTTTTCGTTAGTTGTTAAGCTTATGTGTTGTTTGTTAATCTTTTTCGTTAGTTTTTAAACTTATGCATTGGTTGTTAAGCTTATGTGTTCGTTGTTAAGCTTATGCATTAGTTGTTAAGCGTGTGTTGGTTAAGTTTTTCATTGGTTGTTAAGCTTATACATTGGTTATTAAGGTTTTCGTTAGTTGTTAAGCTTACGCATTGGTTGTTTAGCTTATGTATTTATTGTTAAGTTTTTTCATGATTAACAACTGATGAATATTATTTAGCTATTTTCTAGATTCCTCCTCTTTCTATTACTAAACAAAAAA